ACTGGAAATTTCTGATATCCACATGTTTTACATTTGATTAAGGCTATGATTACTAGCGATGTAATAGCAAAAGACGCGATTGTGATGTATCTTGGAAATCCGATCTCGAACAACAATCGCCATTGTCACATGAATCAACGCTTGTTATATTATATTGATCCTCCGCTTCATTCTGCATACTGCCAAATAAATGAAAATAAACGAAAAGTTCCAATTTCATAGAATCCTTTTAATCACTAATTATGGAAAATATATTAGAATTTATCAGTCATTGTCATTTATAAAATTTAATCGTTTCGTAAATCACTATCACCGACGGAAAATTGTTTCGCTTCGATTTATGCTTGAAATTTGAATTTATAATATTTATAAAATGTGGAAAAGAATAGCTTAAAAATTGCCGTACAATTCGACAAATTAAGCAGTCAGCTTAGTATTCATTATTATTCGTATAATCTCAAAAATTCGAACCGAGTTTCTTCATCATTTATGCCAAATAATATTCTAAAAATTACAATTATACAATATATTTGTGGCAATCATTTCGATGAATTCCCATCATTGTTCACTTTTTTGTCTAAAACAATTCGACTAAATCGTATGTTCACATACAACACTATATTTCAACATTTTAGCTTATAGAATTTCCAAAGCTTTTCGATTCCACAAAATTATTCATCATGCAATCAAATATAATAATGAAATGTGCAGGAAGGTATGGTGAAATTCTCGGATAGCATTTTTGCAAATAATTTGAAGCAATTCATAAGAATGAAAGTGTTTTGTGATTTTTAATTAATCTAAATTTGCATTTAAATAAATAATACTGCGCACAGCTATTTCGCGCAATATTGCAAGCCAGTTATTTTATCGAATAGTTATCGCGTGGTCCTTAATTAATTAATAGGATTGATTATGAATATCACTTTCTGATAAATAGGATTCGCATAAAAATTTATTGCCCATCTTCACATTGGTCACCGTCGTTGAATAATTCTTAATGTTCGCCTTTTATATTGTAAGTTTCATATTTTATAAATTTTAATTTCATCTGCAAAGGCAAAAAAAGCAGTGTCACTTTTCTCGATCTTAAAAATATCTGTAAAACGTTCTGATTAATGTAGTAATTCAGCCATTATTTTCAAAATTTGTGAAATATCATCGAAAGCCATACACAAGCGTGTTTTACGGTTCTAATGCAAAATCCTTTTAACGGTATGAAATGTGTTTGTATTCACTTATTGCAGACCGTTGCACAAATCGAGACGATATATCGTATGAAGTGAGCAATTTTCTCCTTCAATATACCATATTTAATTATTTTGGATTTTGCAATTTTATTTGGATTCAAAAAGATTTGCAACTCGAACAATTCTATAAACTAATTCAGTTTATGAATATCACTTGAGAAAGGAGAATCCAAATGCAACAATAGTACCACAAATCTTTTTCCAAGTAACATGGTACTGGTTGAGCATATTGGTCCACTATCAATAAATTGAGGACTAAACTGCTATCTCATTTGCAAATGTATGGATGGACAACGCAAGAAAGGAGATAACTGCGTGATGGAATGAAAAAAGTAATGTTATTAAGTATAACAATTATCAAGTATCAGCGCTCAAATATCCTCGAATCTTCGTGTTTGCTAATCGTTCATTAAATAAATGTTATAGTAATGATAAATGAAACGTGGATTTATTCATTTAACAACGACAAGCGAAAAATTGCATGGAATAATAAATAAACGAAATAAATATTAACAAAGCTAGCTTTCATCCGATAAAAAATTTAAAACAACGATGGGATTTGAAAAGAAAAGAAAATTATGTTATTAGAATGGCTCAGTGGGTTGTTGCTTAATTCGGAGAACCGACACTAAGGTTCTATTTCCCGCAGGAGTAAATTCGGGTTATGCAAGCGACTCATCTGTACTTCTATCGCAAAGAGATTCTCTGGCATATTTGCCCAGTACGACAAGCCAGCGGAACGAGTTTAACCAATAATGGTGAGGATTCTTAGAAAAAAAATGTTCCCACAGAAGAACCAACTACTTGGTAATCCCAAGTAAGCAACCCTTGCAATCAGACGAATCGGAAGCACAGATCCATAAAAAACCCAATAATATCTAAAATTTACGTCTTCATTACGACTCAACGAACATTGCTACTCACATGCGGCACCTCAGCAACCCTATTCATTAGATAACGCTTATACAAATAATCATTTACACTGGTATAATCATTTACATCTTCACACTGGTCGCGGCCGTGAATAATTCTTAATGTTTGCCTTTTATATTGTAAGTTTTATATATTTTTTAAAATTTTAGTTTCATCTGCAAAGGCGCTTTTAAAAAGCAATGTTATTTTTTCCCCAATCTTATCTCTAAAAAATTTTGATAATTGTATTAATTCAGCCACTATTTTCAAAATTTGTGAAATATATAGAAAGCAATAAATTTAGATTGTCCTTTTTCTTCTCAAGAGCATTGTGGAAGCGTGATTTTGCGGTTCAAATATTTACTTTTTTTCCAATCCTTTCGACGGCTTTTGTACAAAATATATGAAATATGCTTTAATGGCGATACAATGAGATATTGCAGGCCGCAGCACAAATCGAGATGATATACTACAGAGTGAATTATTTTCTTAACGATGAGACCATATTTGATAAGTAATTTGATTTTGCAAATTATTTAGATGCAAAAGGATTTTGAACTTGAAATTCCACAAGCGAATTCAGTTAATGAAAAAGGAGAATCCAACTATAATTATAATATCACAAATACTTGTGCAAGCGACGTGATACCAGTTGAGCACATTTGTCTACCATCAGAAAATTGGGGATCAACCTCGATCGCATTTGCAAATGCGAAGATGGACTGCGCAAGAGAGGCGAAGAGAGGCACGGTAGAATTAAAAAAGTAATGTTACCAAGTTTTTGTCTATCAACTTTTCTATCAAAATATTTTCGGAGTTTGCTAGTAATTTTAATTTTAATATAATAAATACTTTTATTTATCAATTCATTGCCTTATTTTTCACCTCAAAGATTGAAATTATCGATGCAACAAATTATAGAATCTTAATTTCGCCAGCATCTTAATCCATTACTTGTACGATTTGCTTCAAAATCTAAACCATGGCTTCTCTTAGCCTTTTTTTGGCTAATCTCTCTTATTTCTAGGATCTTTGTATTGTTTCCAATTTCTCTTCCGATAAAGAGCTTTTTGTAAAGTTAGCTGATATTGAAAATTTTAGGCTAGCGGGCTTATAACATTTTTACGGAGTCCTTAATTTTTAGAAAGTTGTATTGAAAGAGAAAACCGATTTTTTAAAAACTATTACCCAGAAAAATAAATATTTGTCTGAAATTTGTCTATTTTTTTTTTCGTTTAAGGGTGGTTTATGAATTTTGTAGATTTCAAAGGAGTGAATCAATGTTTGAATGGCTAATATTAAATATTAAATGGTACGCCAAAGTTCGAAATGAATTCCGCCCGTCTACAAGATGGATATTTTCATTTATAATTTTAAATCAAATTCCACAAGCCAGCGAAATTTTTTAAAAATATAAAAATATAGAAAATTTTTCATTGGAAAAAAATTCGCTTACGGTAAAAGGAAAAAAAAATTCATTATTGAGGAGATTGGTCAAATTATAAAAATCGCATAGTAAAACAAAAAGTGATAATCTCGCCACAGAAAATAATATGGAAACTGCCTTACGATTTTATGCATTGCCCGTTAATTTCGACAAATTCATTTTACATGCAAAGAACTGAATCGGTCAAATCGGTCGATCGGAATTCTTCCATATAGAAATAAGTTTCATATTTTTCCGCAAGCCAGCGCGACTTGTCGACAATCGGAATTATAAAATTTCTCACCAACTTTCGGCAAATAAATTGTCCGTTAAAGAAGAAAATTTAAAATGAAAATTTAATTTAGTAGAATAGAGTTTATTTAATAGAGTTTATAGATTTTAGATAAATTTTTTATCGCTAATCGTGAAATAATTCAAATTTGCTCCATTAGGTTGGACATTTTAAATTAGAATTTATGAAAGAACAAATGCCAACGCTCACTCGAGTGATATAAAATCTGTCGTTGTTCGCTCAGATATCTTTTCCTCTTAAAGATTAAAGCCCTTACACATTGGCCATCTTTTCTCGTTCTCGTTCACATTCATAGCGTATAACGCATGATTTTCCTTTAAGAATCCCATTAATTAAATCAAATATCATATTAATTCCACATTTTTTTCCAATTCGGCGGCACGTAAAATCCAAAATAACTTTGTCGAGACGACTTTTCCTTGCCACACTTGAAAATGGAATCTGTGATTTCCCAAAAAAATTAAATCTGATGAAAATTAAATCCGAATGTTAGGAAAGAAAATGTTTTATGCTGAATCTTGTTAAATTCTTTCTAAATTCTTATTGAAATAAAATATAAATTTCATTTAAGTTATTTGGCGATTAAAATGGAAATTCCGCTCATCGCGAAATCAAAAATGAATTACAATTTAAATAAAATTTAGAAATAAATTGAAAAAATAAAGTTTTATATATATAAGTTTTTTTTTTTAAAATTTCTCACTATCTCTTGTTAAGCCCATAGGACAACCAGGCGAGATAAACTTTGCTGCGAAGCAAGTAGGACCTCTGAGATTTTTTGAGGATTTAATTTTGTCTGGAATAGAGCGCTTTCTGAACATATGCCCATTTTTTAAATGTGAATCCCTATTACAAAAGTGCCATTAAAAAAATAAAAAAATTTTCAGTTTTTTTCCAGTCATCAAAATATTCAGTCATTTAAAAAAACCTAAGAAGAATGAGCGAAGAATGTCGGGAATAAGTACAAATGTTCCTAAAAACAGGGCCAATAAAGACGTGAATTCATTCCTGTTGCAAGGAAGAATCAAAGTAAACACATTAATGCACTAGGAGAACAGAGAGGAGAAGATGACTTCCATTATCAAGTAGGAATTTCCTTGGAGTTAAACCCAGAAACCAGTTTCTGTCACCTCGACGATTTTCTGGCAGCCAACTATCTATTTCGTTACAGCTATTCGTGCTGCATTTCTGTCAAAGGAATAACTTCATTAATCATTTATCTAAAGGCAATTTTCTTTTTAGAAATATTCGTTTTGCGCAAGGAATTTAAAGATAAAAAGGATTAAGAGAAATATTTATTCAAAATGTTTTCAAAAAAAAAAAATTGGCTAGCATGAACTGCGCTTCTTTGAATGTGAAAGACGATATGAGACCACTTCACTATTACTGACCGTTAAGATGAGAGAAAGTCGATCGCCATTAATGAGAAGTATGAAAAGCAAGAAAAAAGTCTAGAAAGGTCCCTTTAAGTTTCTCATTAAGACCAATGTCGAACTTAAGAGTGAAAAAAATAACATTAAACATCTGCAATGGCAATATCATATTTTCCACTTAAGTTGGCTGCATTGGCTACAACGGGCAAGCGAGATATTTTCCACAGTTCATAAAGTCATAGCCAATTATACTTACCTTACCGGTAAGCGTGTTTGGGCGAGGCCATCTGAAAGCTTATCAGTCTCACCTCAAATCAAATCTTCCACTATTCCTTTGCTTCGACGACTTAATTAATGAAAACTATTTTGAAAGAAAGGATTGAGCCCGAATTTCTCATTAATATTCATTTTTATTCGATCCGATTTTCATTTTAGATCATAAAAATAATTTCGATGTTTTTGTGCTCCATTTTTTTATGCTTTATAAAACTTTATAAAAGAAATTTTTTTAACTAAAAAATTGCCTTAAAAAACTGATTTTCTATTTCAATATAGATTTTAGCAAAAATTATGCGCAGTTTATTAGCAGTGAAATTAAATCAACGAATTATTTGATGTATTTTGTTATTATTTGTATATATTTTATTATTATCATAAGAACAAAAAAAATATAAAAACATTCAACGCCGATAAAACTGGGAGTGTTCTTGACGAAAAAGAAAAATTGCATAATTTTTAGAATAATCGCAATAAAAATACTTGGTCATAATTTTTCGTTCAATCACTCTTTGCTTCCCCTCATGAGCAATCCATCCTAACATTTGCAAATGCGATAGCAAATTATTCCTCAATTTACTGATAGTAATATTGATAATGGGTAAATGTACTTAACCACTTAAGTGGGCAAAGGCTTTGTGGTACTATAGTTATATTTGGATACTTTCTCATCAGTCGAATTCGCTTGTGGAATTGGTCGAGCTCCAAATCATTTTGAATCGAAATAAAATTGCCAAATGCAAAATAATTAAATATGGCATATTTAAGAAGAAAATGGCTCACATTATACAAAACTGATGAATAAAGGTATTTATCATATTAAAGACAAAAAATATGAAAACATTTAAAAAGATAAAACTGAATAAATTTTTTTAATAGAAAAATTACAAAAATGTAAGACAAAATTTCAACATCATACAAAATTTCTATCATACAACTTTGCAACTATCATACTTTTTTTATTCCATCACGTAGTGATTGCCTCTATGTTGCAATCCATCTCGGCACTTGCAAATGCGATAGCAGTTTAATCCCCAATTTTCTAATGGTGGACAAATATATTCAACCAGTACCATCTTACTTGGACAAATGGTTTGTGATACTATAGTTGAATTTGGATTCTCCTTTGAAAGAATTCATTTATGGAATCTGTCGAGTTTCAAATCTTTTTGAATCTGAATAAAATTGCAAAATGCAAAATAATTATGGTATATTTAAGAAAAAAATGGGTTCCATGGATCGTCTCGATTCGTGCAACGGCCTGCAATAAATGAATAACCATTATCGCAAATGCATTTCATACAGAAGGCGTTGAAAGGTTTGTAACGACAGCAAACTTGCGTTTGAACCGCATAGCCACACTTCTACATGGCTTTTGAGGTGAAATAAGACAATCTAAATTTAGACATTTTCATAATGTTTCACAAATTTTGAACAATTGAGCTATTAGAATTTTTCGTAATGATAAGAGATTGGGAAAAAACACTGCTTTTTTGTGTGCATTTGCAGGTAAAATTAAAATTTGTAAAATATGAAATTTACAATGCAAACGGTAAATTTTAAGAATTATTCAAAGGCCACAACTAACTAAACGATGGTAAAAGACTTTTGCGAAAATCCTTTTTGATAGTAGCAACTTTTATTAAATAATTCGTTGCCAGTTTTATCAAATGCGATATTTTGAATTTTAATTTTATTTAATTTGTGCGATTTAATTTTAATTTATTACGAGAAAGATTAAATGGCAGAAAAATTTTCAAATCCATTTATAAAATATTCGTATATTTAGCCAAAAAAACTTTTAATACGAAAAATATAAAAAAAATTTAAAAAAAGGGAATTATTCAAGCATTCATTATTTAAGAAATTTGGAGAATAATTATAATAATAATCAATTATAAGATTGGTTTATAAAATTTCACTAAATTTTTTCAATTTACAAAATTTTTCTGCGAAAAAATTAATTTTTTCGTTCTGAAAAGAAGAAAAATATCAATTCGCAAAATTCGTTCATTTTTCAAAATATTTTTCCTATAGAAAATTTTCCTTAATGAATTACTTCATTGCTTATCCCATAAATTTGTTCGCTTTAGGAAATATGTAATAAATGGAGCGAGGCTTTATAAAAGCTTTAACAGAATTAATTTAGGCGAACGCCACGTCCTTAACTGTTAATTGCGTTTAAGAGAATTGCGAGGCGAATAATCTTTTCAAAAAATTTCATCATCGCATTTCATCAAAATTTCAGCAAGATTTTTTCAGGTTTTTCATCATCGCATCGGTAATTTATGCGAGCGCCGGTTGGTTGTGGCGATCACCGTTTTCATTACAATTATAAAAGCAATCGTAGTCATAAATTCATTCCTTTCACCGAATGCAT